AAAAAGAGAGAGAGAGAGAAGAGAATACAGTTATTCCAGGAAATTTTTCTGATAGGATTTGAGACAACTCTTGAAGAAATTGAAGAACACAAACTGGAAAAGAGAGAGTGGGGTGGGGGTGGGAAGAGACAAGAAGCAGCACAGACAAAGGAAGATTAACATTCTAGACAAAATCTTGGAGTAGTTGTGAAAAAAGCCATCAGACCTCTGGCTAGATCCAGGAAGTTGGGGCTAAGATGCAGTGGGACAGGAAGGGGAGGACCAGTGGATCTACACCTCAAGCCCTAGGCCTTAGAATTTAGATTTGAACTGATTGGCAATAGGGAGCTGCCAAAGGTTCTGAACAGGGAGTAACAGGGTGATAATAGCATTTAGGGAAGTATAGTGCGGCAGCTTCTCTGCTGTCTATATAAAACGGAGATGCTAGAGGCAGGGAGACCCAAAAGGATCTGTGGAAACACTTCTGTAGGAGCCAGATCAGATTTGCTTCATCACATCTTGGGATCCAGGTGTGAGGTAATGGGATCCTTAACTAGGTTGATGCAGTACAGGGGTCCCCAGCCCCCGGGCTGCAGACCAGCACCAGTCCATAGCCTATTTGCAAACAGGCTGCAAGGCGGGAGGTGAGCATAGGGCAAGATAATAAGGCCGAGCTGCTCCTCCCATCAGATCAGTGATGGCACTGGATTCTCATAGAAGCACAAACCCTATCGTGAACTATGCATGTGAAGGATCTAGGTTTCACTCTCTTTATAAGAAATGTAGGCCGGGCGCGGTGGCTCAAGCCTGTAATCCCAGCACTGTGGGAGGCCGAGGCGGGTGGATCATGAGGTCAAGAGATCGAGACCATCCTGGTCAACATGGTGAAACCCCGTCTCTACTAAAAATACAAAAAATTAGCTGGGCGTGGTGGTGCGTGCCTGTAATCCCAGCTACTCAGGAGGCTGAGGCAGGAGAATTGCCTGAACCCAGGAGGCGGAGGTTGCGGTGAGCCGAGATCGCGCCATTGCACTCCATCCTGGGTAACAAGAGTAAAACCCCTCTCAAAAAAAAAAAAAAAGAAATGCAATATGCTTGAATCGTCTCAAAACTATCCCCACCCTGCAGCCCCCAGTCCATGGAAAAATTGTCTTCCATGACACTGGTCCCTGGTGCCAAAAAGTTTGGGGACTGCTGGTGTAGTCGATTGTTTTGATCAAAATATTCATTCAAGTTAATGTATGCTGGGCTTAATACCTAGGTGAGGGGTGCAGGAAACCACTATGACACACATTTACCTAGGTAACAAACCTGCACATTCTGCACATGTACCCTGGAACTGAACATAAAATATTCATTTAAATTCTCTAGGAGATTATTTTGCATTCATGCTTCCTGATATCAGGCTTGGCCATGTGACTTGCAGTGCCACTCTTATAAAGAGTATCGGGCCTATCTTCCTCTTGAACTCAGAAGTCATGTGCCTTTAGCAAATAAGACATGAGTGGACATGACACATGCTACTTAGAAGCAGAAGCTTGAAGAGCCACTTCAAGGTCTCACCATCTTCTCTTTTTCTTCTGCCACAAAACTAGTGATGTTCCTGATAGGAGGTGCTCCTTCAGCTTAGGTTATGGAGTGAAAGTGTGTGGGGTAGAGCTGCAGCTGACCCGCAGCAAAAATGCATTTGCAACACATAATCACTGGCATTGTAACCCACTGAGATTTTGGAATTGTCACTGCAGCTTATTTTAGCCTTAGCCGATGGATGTAGATGATGGCTATAAAAAAAAGACGCCATTAGAGAGGAAAAAAGAGAGAGAAGAAAGTCACTAATGCAATGAAGAAGAGCAGAGCAGACCTCTTGGGTTCAGGGCATTAGAATGTTACCTCCTCAGTGTGAGGGCCCTATTAAAGGTTTGGAGGTGGGTGGGAAGCAAAGCCATTATGAATCCTGTTGTTGACAGCCTGAGGTAGAGCTGATGTTAGGATGTCCAAATGGAGAGTCCTTGGAGGTCAGGCCTCCCCCAACTTCCTTCCCACTTCTCGTTTCTCTCATTTGATCCTGGTATGAGGAGGAGGGGGCTGGAGCCAAGCGAAAGTACCACCTCTGGGCTCCCAGGTGGGATTGCTGGGCATGTGAAATGTCAGTCCTAGGAGTCTGGCTTTTAATCTGTAGGTGTAGGAGTCTAGTGAGGTGAGAGCTGTGTAGTAGGAGTGACTGTGGGACCAGGGGAGGGACTGGAAATGGGAAGAGTGTGTTAATGACTCTGGGCAAGGGGTGGAGTATATGTGAGCCAGGGCAGGGCACAGGAATGGAGGTCTTTTACCTTTGAGGTCAAAGTCCCATGGCTAATTTATAGACTTACCACTATTTGATATCATATTTGTTCTTTACATTACACCTTGAATCTCATATTCTCAGTGAAACTGCCAGAAATGAAATCCAGAAATAAGTCTCCACTCACAGCCTATCACAGAGCCTGTCTTATCTTCCACCTAATTGCCAAGCCCACTTACCTATCAAAATAATAGTGATAGGCTGGGCGCGGTGGCTCAAGCCTGTAATCCCAGCACTTTGGGAGGCCGAGGCGGGTGGATCACGAGGTCAAAAGATCGAGACCATCCTGGTCAACACGGTGAAACCCCGTCTCTACTAAAAATACAAAAAATTAGCTGGGCATGGTGGCGCGTGCCTGTAATCCCAGCTACTCAGGAGGCTGAGGCAGGAGAATTGCCTGAACCCAGGAGGCAGAGGTTGCGGTGAGCCGAGATCGCGCCATTGCACTCCAGCCTGGGTAACAAGAGCGAAACTCCATCCCAAAAAAAATAATAATAAAAAATAAAAAAAATAATAGTGATGATGATGATAATAATAATAGTTATTTGGCATCTGCTATGCTACTGTGTGCCTGGTGCCGTGCTAAGCATTTTCTATACATTTAATCTCACCTGAGAACGGGCCATTTGTCAAGCGAATGTCTCTGAGCTCAAGACCTATCCCTCCATACTCCACTTTCTGATGCGGAAGCTGAGACTCTGCAAGTCACACTGATGCCTTGCCAGTTGCTTCCTGTTAGGCTCTGCAAATAGGGGCAACAGAGGAGGACTATGAGTCTTGGGGAGGGAGAAGGGGCCTGTTCCTTCTTGTCTGCTTCCTGTTTTAGTAATGTCTCCCCGGCAATGGTTCCTCTCCCTGGCAGTGGGTTCATTCCAGTAGCAATAGTGGAATCTAGTTTGCTGGTTTTTCAACTGTCACAGAACTGGTCTCATCATGCCCACTCGGCAACCCTGTACCAGCCTAGCAATGCGTGTCCTCAGAGGTCTGGGTGTCAGCCCTGCAGGAAGCCTCTAAGTTTCTCAGTTTTAATAATTCTAGCTCCCTTGCCTTTGTTCTCCAGCCCTCAGGGTGGCAGCTGCTTCCTGCAGTTCCCACCTCAGTGACATCTCAGACTTAGCATTTTACCCTTCCAGTTGCCTAGTTAACAACTTTCTACCCACTTGATGATTCTTTATGTTTAATTCTTTCTGTTGAAATAATGTGTCATTTCTCTTTCCTGCTGCGACCGACTGGTACACTGAAGTACATGTTACTCTTTCCTTTGTATAAATAATGTAGCCAATGCTTACTGTTATGCCCACTGTCATACTGCTAATAAGTGACTCAAGTCAGAATTCAGATCTTTCTTTTAACTCCAGAGCCGTGGTCATAACTGGTCCTGTCCCTGCTTCCTTTGGGGTCTCACAGTCTTGCTTACTTTGTGTCTGGGTCTGCCATCACTGAGTGACCAGTCTGGATCACCCAGTCTTGAGCTCAGAGACACTGACTCAACAAATGGCCCCACTCTTTCCCCTACCCTCTGAGTGGGCAGGGTGGAAGGCCCAGGGGGTGTGTGGTGTAGATGGCATCAGTGCCGCCCTGTCGGGATCAGAGGTGGCCAGCTGCTGCTGGTGTCCACATCCATGGTGTCATGAGTTTAGGACTTAGCACCCCAGGACCCTCTTTGCAGCCCTTGGCTGAGAGCTGTCTCTGCTCAGCTTCTCCTGGCTTTGGAAGAAGAGAAGTGGGGCACCAGTGTGTGGACAGGAGCAGCCCGGGGAGGGAACCAGGCTGGCTGGAGTGGACAGACAGAGGGACTCGCTGGGAGCTCCCCAATGTTTGGCTTCTCTGTTCGGGAAGGAAGCAGACACTTTAAATCTCAGTCTTCTGTGAAAGAAGCCATCCCAGTTTAATATGGTTTTGCTTAGCCCCAAGCTGGAATGCCCCCTCTTTAAACAAAACAAACAGAACAATGCAAACATTTCATCCCCTCGGCCACCAGTTTCCAGGCCTGGGAGTCTCCTGCAGATCTGATGTGGTGGCTTGTGCTGTGGGTGGGGCTGCCCTGGTGGAATGTGGGTGAAGGGTGAGCCTCAGCCCGGCTCCTTCCCAGGCTTCCAGGCAGCGCAACCTAACCCTTCCCTGAAAAATTTTCACTAGAGCCTGGAGGGAGGAAAAAGCCAGGCTCATCAGCACCAGGCCTGCGCCCACCTCGTGGCCCTCCTACCTACTCCCTCTGGCTCTGGGCCAGGGATTATCCAGCTGACACCTGGAAGGTGGCTGAGGGTGGCCTGGGAGGCAGGCAGGACCCTCATGACACTCACAGTGTCCTTGTGCCTGATCTCATAGCTTTAGAGAGAGAGGCTGGAGAGTCAGTTATCCGCAAACAACTCAGAATTGTGGGAAGGGCTGGATTGTTCGCTGTGCTCCTGATGTTGATAAATAGTATTAATTGAAAGAGTCAAAGTGTACTGACTGCTTACAGTGTGCCACTGGCAGGAAGGTGCCAGCTCAATTCAGATGTCTTGCATAGCAGGGCACTTGGGGAAACAGAATTCGTGTTGTTGACATTCGACATCATAGATTTGTCCACTTATTACAGTAGTTTCCCACATACCCTTGCTGTTGATTTCTGTGACTTTGTTGGCATTTGTAGACAATACAGACATAAAAGCTCTTGTTTTTCCTTCTGGAGAGAGGAACTGGGGAAGAAGCTGCTGTAGAGGAGAAAAGTAGGGAAGACGGAAGGGCTGGCATGCTTTCCACTCTCCAGCCCAGTGGTCACAGGGCCAATGACCAATGCAGATAAAAATACTCTTCATTCAGTCTCAGCAGTGAACTCCCTCAGGGCCCAGGGGCAGCTTGCTGGCAAAGGGGCCCTTCTCTCCTCTGCCCCACATCCAGCACTTTTGTGGCATCAGAGAACTGCAGACCTTGGGGACAGGTAGGGGTACCTGTACCCTTGGCTGGGTCCCTTACCACCCAAGGATGGGCAATGGCAGGGAGGGTCTCTGTAGCTTATGAGTAAGAAACAGGGAGCCATGGGAACTCAGAATGACAGATGGTAACTGGAGATTGTGGTAATTCCTTGTTTTTTTGTGGGCATGTCTATGATCCTCACAGACTTTTGGAGACAGCCATCTAGCAAGAGCTGGGGGCCGATGGGGGAAGCTAGGATCCTGCTGCTTTACATTCAGTAAATATTTAAGGAGTTAGGAAAGCTGGAGTTTTCTCTGTCATCTAGTGTGGTCAGGATGGGCCTCTCGTAGGAAGTGACTTGATACAGTAGCCCAACGTGGGGTGAGGGGGCATTTCAGGAGGAGGAACCAGCTGGTTGTCCATGAGGCTGTTCTGTGTCTCAAGAACAGCAGGCCATCCAGTGAGGCTGGGGCAGTGAGTATGGGAGACGGATGCAGAGGAGGGCAGAGAAATAGGAGGAAACCAGAATCTTGAAAGTCCTAGACAGCACTGAGGTTTTCCTCTCGATGAGATGAGAGGGCTTTGAACAGAGGAGTAAGGTGATCTGCTGTGTGCAGATAAGGCTTTTAAACTAGCAGCCATTGCAGGTTTGTTCACAGCCGCCTTTCATGGTGGTTCTATTATTATCCCCATCATCAAAGCAGGAATCCTAAACACTTAAAGGATTTAAGTAATTTACTCAAGGTTAGCCAGAGTAGAATGGAAGTTGGGATTTGAACACAACCAGAATGAGCCCTGCTTTTAATCACCAATGGATACTGCCTCTTCATGGCGGAAAAAACCCATCATGCTGCAAGAACCTTTTCCTTCAAGCCTAGTACTACGTGTGACAGCACCCTCCACACCTGCCAAGTCCTTTCTGACCTCCCGGGGACTGACTTCACTCTGCAATCATCCTTCTTAGTGACTGGAACACCCAACTGTTGGTGCTGTTTCAGGCAAGCAAACGCATTGGGTTAAGGATCTTATCTCAATCTATAGGGAGATCCTCCTTTTCTCAATCGATAGGGGATTCAGAGACCTAGTCCCATTGAGGCCTATGCATCTATTTAATTAAAAACAAGTTCGAATCTTGAGGTTTGGGAAATTGCCTGCCTAGTGATGCAAATCTGTAAATCCCACTTCCTGCTGCTTCCAGGCTGACTGTAAATACCCTGAAAAATCAGCGTCCCTGGAAATGTTTTGACCATTCCATTTCTGGCTCAATAGATAGTAATAAATAAAAATGAAAGTGGTGGGAGAAAAACTAGATTAAATTAAAACTAGCCCTTAATAGGGCTTAGCTCAGGAAGGGTGGTTAAGGACTTCTGGCCTGTTCCTGTCATGTCTGACGTGGCTCTTTAATTACTAAACCCGAGTCCTCAGGGTCTGTACAGCCACCTCGTGTCTCTCTGATGACTCACCTTCAGCTCTGAAGTTAGCAGGGACAGATGAGTCATCATCATTTCAGAAGCAACAACTGATGCAAAGAATCTGTTTTGCTATCAAACTAGGGCAGTTATTACCTATACTCAACCAAAAGCAGGCACCAAGTCCTGACATGGGCTGCCCATGGAGCACTCACAGGGCAAGGGATCAGGATATTTGAGATCTGTGGTGTTCTAGGAAATCTAGTTGCATGGGAGCCACATATTCTGTGAATTTGAAGTCAGGGTCTCCGGCAGCCTGAATTCTCTAAAAGGTCTCATTACCACTTAAGGACTAATACATTTCCTGAAAGACACATTGCCTTCCTGGTAACAGCAGCTGTAGTGATACAATAGTAACAATTACAGTACGCCCCAACGTGCTGCGATCCCAAAACCATCTGAGTTCACCTGACAGTCCCTGGTATTTATTTGATGAAGTCAAGCTTTGAGACAGGCATACTTCCAGAGCTGGTGGTGACACTGCCTGGACTCTACATGGACTAGGATGCCCAGCTAGTGTGTTGAGCAGTCCCAGGGAGGGCTGTCTGTGGAAGGGTAAGTGAGATGCAGATGTGAGCTCCTCATTTCACTGCAGCATACATCTGCCTACCCAGTGAACACTGTCATCGCCTTTTATCACAAAGACCCACCTCCCACTCACCTTTTCTAACACTAACCTAGGGCTCCTTTAGATCTATTCAGAGATTCCTGGGCTACTCCCCTGTGGCTAATAGCCCATTGCTTGCTCTCAACTCTTGCCCACTGATGAACTTTTATTCCAATTGCTTAGCAGTGGCATTCTCAGGGATCAATGGCCATACACTCATGCTTTCCGCCATTCTGGTGACAGCACACAAACACACATGTGCACACGCCCCACAAACCATATGTACACATACACACACAGAGGTTTCCAATAAACCAAATGTGTGAATCTTTTCCAGAGTGAGGGCAACTAGACTATGCCAAAAGATAGAATTGTTTCATTCTCTTCTTATTTTACTTGGATTCAACTCTTATTTCGGTAGAATTGTTTTATTTTTCCAGGGAGGGTTACTATGAAAGGAACCTGATTCTCTCTGTGTCATTAGGAATGTGTCTCTTTCACGCCAAGCTCTATGATTTTGCCTCTAGAGATGGACTTCCAACTCAGAAAGAAAGAAAGCTCATTTTTCTTTTTTTTGGAATTTGATTCTTTCAGGCAACAGATGCTGAGTGCCTACTGTGTGCAAGATCCCAGCTAGGCTGTTGAGGATATAAGAATAGATAGATTAAACTCTCTGCCCTCTGATATACAAAACTTAAATTTCTTTGCTGGCAACATGAAAGACAGGATACATATGCCTATATTTAACTCCTAAATAGATAACTTCATGGATCCAATCTCAATGAAACCCTTTTGCCACAGATCTTTTGACAATTTGGGGTTCTTTGCTATGGGAGATTACAGTGTCATTGCAATGAAGGAAACTCTTTTTCGTATTTTGTAAACTTTTGCAGCGTGCAGTCCTAGGGCAGAAGTGATTACAGTGAACTTCTGTTAATTAATTATGCCTATCAGAGTGCAGACGCCGAGCGGCCAGTGGGCTTGGAGCTGTGTCTGGCAGCTTGTGGAGAGCTGGGTGCCACAACGGGGCTATTGTTTTGCTCACCGTTGCCTTTAGCTTCCTCTTGGCATTGGTTTCTAATTGCCTCCCAACTGGGTAGGTCTCAACCTGTTTTCTGAGCCTCCTTGGCAGGTATGTAACCAAATGTTCCTAGGCCTCACCAGCCTGTGGGAGCCAATTAGATGACACTTTCACTGAGAGTTAGCTAGCTGCTTGCTCCACCTGTGTGACTCCTCTCTTTCATACCTCCCCTTTCTCAAATTTATCTTCTTCTTTGGGGGTGGAGTCCACAGCATGTATCAAGTATGCAGAGAAAAAGTTGGCAGCTCTTGGATGTTCATGGCTTGTCAACCATTTGGAACTGCCCCTCTCCCAGTGTCCTGTGTCTCGATTCCCCTGCTCTGGTCCAAGTCTCTGGTTCAGCCACTTGGCACAGGTGGCTGAGCTGCTGGCTGGGACACCCATGAGCTTTCAGGGTCCCCAGTCATGCAGAACTCTGAGGACCTCAGGGATGTGTTCCGTGGGCTGCCACTGTGGCACAGCTCAAAAAAGCACTGTAACATCTCTCATGAAAATCCTCCCTGGGATCCTTCTCTCACTCAGGTCTTGTCTTCCAGGGTCACGAAACTAGCCCTTGGCCTCTGCTTCACCTGCAAAGTGCCCCAGAGCTCTGTGTTCCCTGCATTCCTTCTTGTGCTGCGGTCCTGCTGCACTCCTCAAAGAACTGGGGAAAACACCCTCACCCCACCCTGTGCAATTTTTTTATAGTTTGAGTCCTGAAGCTGCTATGCATGTACCTGAGGATCTAAAATCCTCTGTGCTGACAGCTCCTCAGTTTCTGGCTCTGGCTTTGTGCTCCCTAGGGGCTCACACCCTACTGGGCCTCCTTCCATCATCCTACAACCCCCACCCCCAGTTGTCCCTTAATGTCCATCCACTGTTCATTAAACTCCTCCTTGATGCTCCAGCTAAAAATCAAGATGATACAGATCAACTGCGCAAATAAATACTTGGAGACAGTGGTTGGGTTCTGCTCTCAACTAGGCCTGTTGTAAGAAAAGCACCGAGCTTCTAACATGCATATTCCTTTTTCTGGCTTTAGACAGAAAGCAGCTTACAGCTTCTTGGCCGCAATGCCCTTGATTCCTTTCCTTAATTTCCTCACCCTGTTTCCTAAAAGGATAAAATGAGATAATGTGGTAAAAGTTATACCTAAATTGCAAATGGCCATGTCAGTGTAGCATAAGGTTAAAACCTTGCATGCAGCAATGCTCAATAGATACCAACACTGAATGACTAGTGGCCATGATATTTATTATTTATCTGATAATCCATTAGAAATATTTAGTGAGCATCTATTATGTGACAGTTTCTATTCTAGATATGGGAGATACAGGGATGAAAAAGAAAGAGATCCTAATGGGAAAAGATGAATGCTATGTAAATTAATTAAAAACAATACATAAGAAAATATCAGACTATGACAAATGCTCTTCAGGGAATTAATTTAGAGCAATGCGATTGAGGGCAACTGTGTGGTTCTGTTGGAGCAGGAAATGAGGTTAGGCCTCCCTGAGGCAGTAACTGGTCAAGATTAGATTGAAGGAGGAGTCATCCATGCAAAGGTCAGAGGAAAGAGGACTCCAGGCCGAAGAGCAACTTGGGCAAGGAGCAGGGCTAAGCTTGGTGAGCTCTGATGATGGAGTCCAGGAAAGGGGGAGTCTTCATTTTTCTGCTTTTGGCATAATGGGAAGCAATTAGAGTTTGAAACAGGGGAGTAACATAATCTGGTTTGTGTTCACAAAGAGAACTTAGGCTGCTGTGGGAGGAAGGGGTTGAAGTCGCTCAAGACAGGCAGCAGGAAGACCAGGCAGGAGTCTGATCTGGTAGGATGGTGATGGGGCCAGGGTGACCACATCCAACTTGAAGACCATAACAGATTGGGAGTCTTTGGAGGCAGAGCTGACTGGACTTGTTGATTGATTAGACGTTGAGTGTGAGGAAAGAGGGGGCTCCAGGATTTCTGTGTGGCAACTACGGAAGCCAGAAGCCTCTTACCAGATTGGGATGCAGGTGGCCTGCATCAGGGTGGTGGCCAAAGTGTTAGGAGAGTGGCTTATCCTACAGGAGGGGAAAGGGGGACGAGCTCCTTTCTTCTTCTGTCTGACACGTATGATACTGCAGGAAGATTGGAGAGAACCTGCTAGAGCAATCAGTTGGTTTCAAATACTTAAGAAGCAGCTTTTGAAAGCAAACCATAGCCAATTCCACAAGCTAGCAAGTCAAATAACTTTAAAATAGCCCAAGGCGGGTATAGTGAATTAAAGCGGCCAAAAGTGCTGTTTACTGTCTGAAATACCCTTGGCAGCGGTCCAGAGAGTTCAGGAGCTGGGCTGGGCTTGGGGATTTCTGATAACAGTCTTCACATTGGAATTTAATTTGTTTTACTTAAAGGTAAGTCTGAGTACTGTTCTCATGAAAACTGCCTGCCCAAACTATTCTTTAAGGACCTGAAAATCCAGACCCCAAGGAATGTTCTGCTTTGCCAACATTCACTGTCCCCGTGTTTGTTGACTTCACAAACAGAACTTGATGAAAATGTAAGAAGACCTGTGAAAGGGTGAATGTATGAGAGGAAGGCCCTCTGGGAGCCCAAGGAATTTATAGATCCCTGAATTTTATCACTGTAGTTACTTTTAAATTAAAGATAATACTTTTCCTTCCAGGTTCTCCATGACAAATAAGAATGCAGATGTCACTCAAGCGTATGATACGAAAATCTTTCCCGGATCTGGGAGTATCCAGAACTAACCACACAGGGGAACTGTTTTTTTTTCAAGGTCTGAGACTTTCTCCTAATTCCAACTTAGTCACATGTAGTTACTCATTACCTTGAAGGGCATTAAGAGTTTATCCGTGGCCACTGTACATTTTGTGCTGCTTTGTTATATCAGGAAAAAATGCAGCCAGCTGAGTCATAGTTTTCAATTCGTTTTTCAATTTCACCAGGAACAAAGTTTTCCAATATCTTTACAATTTTGTTGCTTTTCATATTACTCTGATTACATACTTTGCAGGATAATCCAGCCTTTTGCTTAAGTATATTAACAATGCATAATATAAATGGGGAGCAACACTATTAAAGTAATCTTAAGCAGAGGTGAAAACTTGAAAGCCAGCAAGATTTAGTGACTCACATTCAAGGTCTATAGGGATGTGACAGAGAAAAGGAGAATGAGACAATTATGAACCTTGAAATCATGACAGGGCTTTATTACCCTGAGAGCTATTCTATGTGGTTTCCAAAATCTAAAATTTATTTAATTCAACAGATATTACACACCCATCTTACATCCAGCCCAATAGGATAAGTGTATTCATACATTTATGAATATTTATACATACTTATTCATACATTTATGAATAAGTGCATTCATACATTTTATCAATAAAATATTTTAAGCACTGCTGACATGTAAAACACTATAGATACAAGGGCCTCATCTTCAAGGAACCTTTATCTAATTGGGTAGAAAACACAAATGAACTAGTTCCACGGCAGCACAAAGGGGTGAGATGAGCTCAAATGAGAGGTATGGGCAATAGATGCCTGAAATAGTCGGGTCCCTGACCTCAGCTAAATGGTCCTTGAAGGACAAGCAAGGTTTGGGTGGAAGAGACTAAGGGACAAGTTTCTTCAGGCAGGGAGAACAGCACACACAAAGGTACTGTCTGGGAAGGGTTTAAGTGTGCATGTGGCAAAAGGGACCCACTTGGTGAAAAGGTTCTGTGGGGACACAGTTAAAAAAAGTAGACTAACACAAATAGTGCCATTTGCTGGGATAGAAATAACATGCTTTCTGAGACAATCATGACTTGGCTGACACTGTGTCTATATGCAATTATGGAGGAACTTAGTCACAAATAATCTTTCTTATCTATTTGCATGAGTCAGGCTAGAGCTAGAAAAACTGATGAAAAATCAACTCATTAAAGAAGCAGTAACTCACTCCTCAGAAAGTAGGAAGAGGAATTAAGATGGACTCATACAGATTGTAGTTATTTGAGCAAAGGAGAGGCAGAGTCACCAAATGGTAATGCATTTACCTGCCAGTCCTATACATTAATTTCCTCCACTGAAGAGGTTTGATTTCAGAGGGATTAACTCTTCTTTGGGGGAATTAAAAAATAATCTCAATAATTAAGAGATTTCTTTAGCTCAGATGGTCAACGGATTTAAATCCAGAATGAGAACCCTAGAGATTATCCAATTCTTAATTTACCTGGGCTATTAGTTTGCCACATGTGTGATCCTAGATATAATTATAAAACCCCAGCTTCTTTCTTTCTTGCTTTTTTTTTTTTTTTTGCGACGAGTCTCACTCTGTCTCTCAGGCTGGAGTGCAGTGGCATGATCTCAGCTCACTGCAGCCTCCACCTCCAGGGTTCATGCAATTCTCCTGCCTCAACATCCTGAGTAGCTGGGATTATAGGCTCACACTACAACGCCTGGCTAATAGTTTATATTTTTTTGGAGAGACAGGGTTTCACCATGTTGGCTAGGCTGGTCTCCAACTCCCAACCTCAAATGATCTGCCTGCCTTGGCCTCCCAAAGTACTGGGATTACAGACGTGAGCCACTGCGCCCAGCCCCAAGTTTCCTCATCTTTAAAACACCTACCCAAATGTTTCAGAAAGTGCAATATAAGATTCATATTCTGTCTCTCTTTCTCCATTCTCTCTCTCTCTGTCTAACTACGGTGGTGCCATGAATGTCAAACACCCTATTTTGAAAGCTGTGATAGGCTCTGCCACTCACTACCTGTTGACTTTGTATAAGATGCTGAATTTCTATAAGGCTCAATCTCAGGCTCTCTTTAAAACCCGTATAATAGTACAATTTGATAAGGGTATTATACAGTTGAAGACAAATAATATGTGCAAAGTGCTTAGCACAGAACTTGGCAATTCAATAAAATAAAGCTATTTTTTCTTTTTGTTAGACTGGTATCGTTATTTACAGTTTATAAAGCATTTTCATGAACTTCACAATAACCTCTTAAGATAGAAGCAATTATTAACAGTTTTTGAGATAAGAAAACTGAGGCTAAGAAATACCATGGCCATGCCTCAGCAGGAGACAGTCGGGCAGTCTATCAGGCCAATTTCAATGGCATTTGCCCTCTGCTCTAGCTGTCTTTTGTGGTGGGACACACAAACTAACATGAAATAAGTTATGTATTTGTTACATACAGTTCATAGTGAGCATTCAATAAATGTGGTTCCCTTCAAATCTCATAAGGTAGCTGGTGAGGGCTCTAGGCAAAACTAGTAAGCTGGTCAATAATTTCTTGATTTTCTACCTTCGTGTGTCTAATATGGTAGCAACTACCAACATGTGGCTATGAGCATTTAAAATGTGGCTACTCCAAATGGAGATGAGCTGCAAGTATAAAATACTCACTGGACTTCAGAGATTTCATGTAAAAATATGTAAAATATCTCACTGATAATTTTGAAAATCATAATGAAATGAAAATATTTTGGTATGTTCAGTTAAATATTTCACCTGTTTCTTTTTACTTCCTCATAATGTGGCTACTAGAAAATGTTCATTTGCATATGTAACTCATATTTGCGGCTTGTATTAAATTTCTATTGGACAGAGCTACTTTACTTAATCCTTTGCCCTTCCACAGGTATTCCCTGGCCTCTTGGCCCTCTTCTTCCTTCCTCACCAGGACTCCAGGATCCTCCTGTCTGGAAAATAGTGTTCCACTCACCTACTTCATGCCACGATGTTAATATCTGTCTCTGCAGAAAGTCTGCTTTTAGAAAAGGTACCGAAAGTGGAGGTTAATACACCTACATGTGGAAGAGATGTAAGTTAATACACCTACATGTGGAAGAGGCAAGGATCGGAATTTCAAATGCCTACAGGAGTCAGGGGGATACTGTAAAGTATAGATGCAGGCGGCAATAGGGAGTGGTGGAGACTGTGGCAAACTGAAGAACACATGACTCATTCAAAGGGAATAGTCACCATCCAGCTCTAGCTAAATGTTGCCATATCATATCAGAATTTGGGCCCAATGTGGCCAGATCTTTTGATTTTTTAAGGGCAGCTGGAAATCTAGTGTCTTCAAAGATTTGTGATTAGATACTTTCAACAAGCATTGTAAAGAGCCTATGAAATCTGCCCAGCAGTTCCATTTGGCCCACTTGGCCTCAGCTTTATATCAAGGCTCACCTGGTGAGGTATGCAGTAACCTGGACAGGTAGTGCTTACGATATCAGCTTTGCTCTTGACATTTATAGAGCTGGAAGAGTCCTGCTTTGTTATAGATAAGATACTATGGCCCACAGCAGACAAATGGCTCACTCTCAATCACACTATCAATCCCTCTGGCCAAGAATGCCAGAGTTGGCTGGGCACAGTGGCTCACACCTGTAATCCCAGCACTTTGGGAGAACGAGGTGGGCAAATCACAAGGTTAGGAGTTCGAGACCATCCTGGCCAACACAGTGAAACCCCATCTCTACTAAAAATACAAAAATTAGCTGGGCATGATGGTACGTGCCTGTAATCCCACCTATTGAGGAGGCTGAGGCAGGAGAATCACATGAACCTGGGAGGCAGAGGTTGCAGTGAGCTACAGTGCACTCCAGCTTGAGTGGCAGAGCGAGACTTGGTCTCAAAAAAAAATTAAAGTAAATAAAAATGCCAGACTCCTGCTCTTCATGACTTCAAAGTCACTGAGTCCTCAGTCTTTAAAACAATAGTCAGTAGGCAGCTACTGATTTGGCAAGACGACAACAACAACAAAAACAACAGGCAGTGTCTTCTGTCTGTCCCATGGTTTGCCTCTGAGAAAGGCCCTTGGTGAGTGGAAACACTCTGTCAGGTGGGTAAATGTTAGAGCAAAAGATGCTGTGTCCACACTGGTCTCTGGCTGCTTAGGGAAATAATACAAATGGATAATGTTCTTCATGAATTTATCTCGCACATCATAGAACTTACTCTACAAGGACATACGCTAATCATTTACAGAGTGAGGTGAAATCCCTAAATAACCCAGGCGGAGAAAATCACCGCACTGCTGAATACCCTTGTTATTTATGAGCAGGTGTACATTCTAGACACCTGAGTCAGGCCCAGAGAGAGAAAGTTTCCTTAATCTGCAGTTGACATAGGAAGATTTCTGTCTGTGTCATGCTCTGAATGTCCTCTTCCCAATTCTAAAATGCAAATGGTCTAACCCAGTCAGCAGAAAAAAAATGCAGCTATAAAATTTAGCATTCTCTCAACACAGCATTTGTTCATTCTAACCTCGCCTTTTGCAAATACACCTTTAGAGCTCTTTACACGTAAGCTACTTACTTATGTTATTGATAACGGTTCCAAAACAAATATCAGACTTTAAGTGATTTCAACCCTTCCTGCATAAACTCTGGGACTTTCCCAGGTGATGTAAGAGTACTGAGCTTTCTTGCTTATGAGAACATTGCAGAGATAGCCAGAATTAGCTTTTTGCTAATTTGTAATATCATGGCTTGTAGGGTTTTTAACTCTTAGAAATAATTTATTTTCTATGAAGATCTCAAAGGTTCATAGAAAATGCATATTAAGAAAAAAAAACAACACATGGATTTCAAAATTTTTTTGCACCAAAATAAACTGATACTAACTTGTTACAACATACCTGAAGACGACCTACGGTAAGGCACTAAGAGTAAGACATATGCCGGGCAAGGAGACTCGTGCCTGTAATCCCAGAACTTTGGGAGGCTGAGGCAGGTGGCTCACTTGAGCTCAGGAGTCCAAGACCAGCCTGGGCAACATGGAGAAACCTTGTCTCTACAGAAAAAAATATAAAAATTAGTGGGGCATGGTGGTGTGTGCCTCTAGTCCCAGCTACTCAGGAGGCTGAGGTGGGAGGATCACCTGAAACTGAGAGGCAGAGGTTGCAGTCAGCCAACATCACAGCACTGCACTCCAGCCTGGGTGACAGAGCAAGAGTCTGTCTCAAAAAAAA